TATAGGCCAAAAATAGTTAAGAGAGCACAGCAAAAATCTTACCCCTAAATATGGTAAGACAATGAAAAACTGTTACTGAAGCCCCAGATCTGGGATGAGAATACGTGGGTCCTAGTTACTGCTAGATCACTTATTAGCTGCATTATATGTCACTGGACAACCCATCTCAAGTCTATGGGCCTTTCTATAAAATGGGTGGGTTTGACTAGGATAGTATTTCTCGAACTTTGCTGCCAATCCATTAAAAAGTATACATATTTGATTTCAACCCAGCATATTCATACTTATTTGAAATATAAGATTTATAAATACTCATGTGAAATATACTTTAATATTTTCTATTTTATTCTAGTTCTTTAAAAATTACTGATAGGATGGCTAGAATTAAAAGACACATAATACAAACAGAAGCAATGATGTAGCTTAAACTGGAACCCTCAATACACTGCTGGTAAGAATGTAAAACAGTGCAGATACTGTGGAAGGTAAGGCAGTTCCTCAATAACTTGAACACAGAATTACCATATAATCCAGCAATTCTACTCCTAGGTGTATACCAAGAATTAAAAACAGGTGTTCAAACAGAAACTTGTACAGGAATATTCATAACACTATTCACAACAGCCAAAAGGTGGAAACAACCCGTTCCATCATCAGATGAATGGATAAACAAAATGTGGCATATATCCATACAATGGACTATTATTCAGCCATTAAAAAGGAATGAAGTACTAGTTTGTGTTATAACATGATGAATCCTGAAAATATTATGCTATGTAAAAATAAGCTAGTCACAAAAGGCGACATATTATATGACTTATAGGAAATTTCCAGAATAAACAAATCTACAGACAGAAAGTAGATTAGGGCTGTTGGGAGAAGACTAGGGAGTGACCGCTAATGGGTACAGTTTCTTTTTGGCGATTATGGAAACACTCTGAAATTATACAGTGGTGATGGTTGCACAATTTTGTGAATACACTAAAAACTCAGGAATTACACAGTTTAAAAGAGTGAATTTTATGGTATATGAGTATCTTAATAAATTTGTTATTTTAAAAAATAAAATGAAAATTTACCAGTTAAGATCAACAAATTAATTTCACAGACTAGAAAGTTAAAGGATCTCTGGTGGCTTCTAATTCTTACACAAGTTAAGTTCTAGGGAGGCAAATCAAAAGAGACTCTTAAATACAGAGAACAAACTGAGGGTTGCTGGAGGGGAGGTGGATGGGGAGATGGGCTAAATGGGTGATGGGCATTAAGGAGGGTACTTGTTGAGATGAACACTGGGTGCTATATGTAAATGATGAATCACTGGGTTCTACTCCTGAAACCAATGCTACACTGTATGCTAACTAACTTGAATTAAAAAGACAAAGTTAAATTTCAGTCAAACCTTCAGTGTGCCACATATGTATTTACATTTTTTCACTTGGTCCTCAAGAAAATCCAGAAACTGTAGTGGAGGCTCAGAAAAGTAACCTGTCTAGTGTCAACAGCAATTAAATGAAGATAAGTATTAAACTCTACATCTTACTCCAGACACCCCTTTCCAATACTCAGTGATGTGAACATATCATGACATAATGATGCAAGTCTTTGTAAGAGGAGAAAAAGCTAAAATCTATTAATTTTTTAAAAGTTTTATTTATTTGGGAGAGAGAGAGCACGAGTGTGCACATAGGGGCAGGAAAGGGGCAGAGAGGTAGACAATCCCAAGCAGGCTCCACACTGTCAATGTGGAGCCTGATACAGGGCTCAATCCCACAAACTGTGAGATCATGACCTGAGCTGAAATCAAGAGTCGGACACTTAACAACTGAGCCACCCAGGTGCCACTTAATAGGTAAAATGAAGTTTTTGATGCATTGTATCAAAGACTGGTAACACTTAATTATTCTTCAGTAGAATGATGCTTACTTAACCACCAAACATTACATGTCTATCCACATATCCTAATGAATTTTCTATTCTTTATGTTAGATTAGCTCTAATTTTAGCAATCTGAACACATGAGAATGTGTTGGGTTCAAATAGACCCAACATGTTAAACATTAAATCTAGTACCAATAAGTCTAATCATGTCACTCAAAGAAAAAAAAAGTTCCTCAAAGAATGGCTAAAAGAGCTTGGTAATATCTACCACAGCTGAGCAAAAATTTAATAATAATTAGCTTCTCAGAAGTAGGCTGAACTCAAGGTTTACTGGCACTGGAAGTTTGTTTGTTGGGTTTAAGTAAATGTTGCTAAAAGCCAATCTTTAAAAAAGCTTATCACAATCTAACAAAGTTCTAGTATATCCCATGGTCAGTCAGAAGCCAAATAACATCAGAAAGAAATGTAGAAGAGATATTTTACTTTGTAACATCAAATACAGGAATACTATTGGCTTCATAGCTGAATATTCAGACACGTGGCAAAAATATGCAGATACTAATCAAAACTGAAACATGCTATTATTAATATAATGAAATATTTTATTCATCCTTAGTTTTCTGCCCCTTGGCGTATCTTTTATCTTCATACTAACAACATTTGGTGTGAATTAGCCCCTCTTCACAAATCTCAAGGGTCTCCTTATTAACCACAAAACAGATAGCTCACCATGGGTGTGTTTGGGTGGGTGGGTGTGCCTTTCCTAAGGTCTCTTCATATGTGATAGATGACTTTATTCCCTCTAAATATTCTACTGTATTTACTTGTCTACAACCTTGGCCAAAAATTACTTCTATGTGAATACAAAAACAAAAAAAACCAGTGGCACCTGTAAATTACAGGTATCTGAAAATGATTCTACTATACTTCATTCTATTCTAACCTGCTTTCTGTTATTTTCTCAGGATTTCTCTCACAAAGTAGTTTGTTTTGCTTATGAAGAGAACAATCAGATTTTATTTGTAGCAAGTTTTAATAGCTCATCTCAATCTTAAGGAAATCTTCCCTAATATATCAAAATTCTTATAATTTATAATATTAATATTGATCATTTATTTGAAATTAAATTCCCACATCACTATTTTCTAATTTTCAGTAAGATTCTGACTGCTTCTAAACAAGAAAATTCAGTTCATTCTTTTGGAATATTTTCTATTAATTCCATCCCTGCACTTTATTATTATACAGTGTCTAATTTATAAATCCTTTCATTAAAAACCACTATCAGACAACTAAGTTATCAACTTTTCCAATGATGTTTTCAATTCTTAAAATAGTATTTTCTCTACTCACAGATAAATGATGATGTATCACTGGAAACTGAGGGCTCCCTCTCAAAGAAATAAATTAGTTGTTCAATTCTTAAAATAGTATTTTCTATACTCACAGATAAAAGATGATGTATCACTGGAAACTGAGGGTTCCCTCTCAAAGAAATAAACTGGTTGTCCCATCCTTCCCTCATTTAAAACAAGGTGGCTGTTTCTGGCTGAAAAAGGCTGAGAAGGTGCCTCTGGGCATGTGTTTATTAATCAAAATATTGGCAGGGAGACACATAAAACTTTAAGGGAGTACTTCTGTTGTAGTTTGATGAGTTAGCAAATTATGCACAGGAAAAAATGTTTGGTACAAAGCTATTACACTTCATTTTAAAATGAAAAATTAAAATTTAATATATTCAAAAACTGAAACTTTAACTAAATAGCAATAACTCTATAACTTACACTAACTTTTCATGTTTCCTAGAATTAACACATTTGTGTTGAGTCTATTAACATTAAATTTACTACTTACTTCTCAAAATGTTAAATATTTTCTCCTAGTCAAGAACTGAATTACAGATACCTGGTACTACATTTTGAACTACTTTAAAATATGTGAAACAGTGGGTTTATTTATTTTTTTTTTTGTAAATTTTTTTAAATATCTATTTATTTTTGAGAGAGACAGAGTACAAGCAGGGGAGGGTCAGAGAGAGAGGGAGACACAGAATCCGAAGCAGGCTCCAGGCTCCAAGCTCTGAGCTATCAGCACAGAGCCCAAAGCGGGGCTTGAACCCAAGAACCGTGAGATCATGACCTGAGCCGAAGTCGGACGCTCAACCGACTAGGACACCCGGGCGCCCCACATGTATTTGTTTCTTTACTGAGATTACATGAATATTACCTATTAGATGGACAATTATGCCTGATCTACCTCAAGCAAATGGACAAATACTTTAATCTTAAAGAAATTTAAACAAAAAAAGGAAAAACCAATCCAGGCTTAGGCTGGATATATTACAATGTAATACAATGTAAATGTATATTCTCAATATATTCTCAATGTAAATATTCTCCGAATCATAGAGAATACTTACCAGAATATTTTAATAAAAAATAATGGGATTGGTGTGCAGGAAGGGAGGGCAGTTAAGTTCAATGATCACATATTCTAAGTTTGGAAACATACATCTGATGTCAATCTCTCTTGTAGATTCAGAATGCCTATTAGTACTCTAAAGGATCTAAAGAAAGTCCTATAATAAGAGGTTTAATTTATTTAACCCACTGTTGTCAAAATTTATTTGGTCACAGAATTCTGTTTTGTTTACCTCTATTAATATCTCATACCATTAGTTTTTTGGTTTTTTCACAGAATGGAATTTGGAAATTCTGAGCCATGTTTTATGTGTATGATGCCATATGAACAGCTCCAGTTCTTCTTACTGGCAGTCATTAAAGAAAATCAAATAGATTATAAGCTACAGATGTTAATTTTATTACTATTTTACAAACTATAAGGAAATCAGAAATCCAAAATCTGAAAACTGCTTTTCAGTAATTTTGACATAAAAGTTTGAAATAAAAGGTGAGTTTCAAGGCTATGTTAGGCTACATGTAGAAATTTTTAATTCAAAGATTATATCTAAAAACCATGTTGCAGTGACTGAATGTTTAAGCCATGTGCTTTAGCTCTATGTAACTAAAAGTAAACAATCCCTCTTTCTTCCTGTACACATTTATGTTAAGGCAAGAGAAACAAAGTAAAACATTTTCCATAATTCTGCTGTATTTACTTACCTAATATTTTCACAGCATAATGAGGACTTTCTAAGACAATTCCTTCCTCTGTATCAAATATAGGGTTATCTATTCCAGTCTTTGGAGGAATTTGGGCTAGTTTCTTAAGTCTCATGGAAGAATTAAGGTCAAGTTCTTGTTTTTTCCCTTCTTCCTCTCGCCTACGCCTCATGTCTTCCTGTTGTTGCCGAATACGTTCCAATTGTGCACTTCGACGTACTGGCATCATCCTGGTGCCCAAATCTCCGGGGCAGTCAACAGCCATCTCTCGATGCTTCTGATGTTCCTCTGGTGATGCAAGATCAACATTTTTTACTTCGCTGTCTGATTCCTCAGTAACATGCCCATTCATATGGGATGTTGTCATGGTTATCTATAAAAACCTGTACCACTTTTTATAAATCAATTTCTCCTATAAAGCCAATCTCTTGATTCTGTAGTATAAAATCCATGTTACTTCAAAAAAAAACAAAAAACAAAAAACTTCTCACATCACATAATAATGCTATGAAATGTATCCATGAAGGAAATCTAAGGGGAAAAATGGGGGAAAAAAAGTGTAAGAGTTACAATATAAAAACATTTTACACAGCACACTTCCAATCTATGCACAATACAGTAGCTCATAAGTGTACATTTGGCTATACATATTACTTTCTTTTCATTTTACAGATAATGCTGAGGAAATCAAATATTTAAAAAAATCCTCTCCCAGGAATTTGAAGCATACCATTTTTTTATAGCTGAGGAAAATCATGTATTGCAAAGTTTAGCAAAGCGGGAAAGTAAGAAAGTTTTAGGTACTAGTCTAGTAGAGAATAGGTTGCTTAAGGTATAAAGATGTTTTAGTCATCTCTGTATAGTTGTACTATACTATATACTATACTGTACATCTTTGTACAGTATTTTATACTCAATTAATACACAAGATTGAAATAACTTCCTAGTTAACTGCTAAAGAAACTGGCATATAGCAAACGATATTAGTGGCTCACTTGAGATTAAGGCAGTATTATGGAGGACAATTAACTTTTAGGAGTTCATGAGATGCAGGAGGTACCTAATGAAAAAGAAACTTTTAATTAGCAGCTAAGGCATCTATAGGATAAAACAACACTAAGTGAAAAAATATATGTGGGTTATCAGTATTCACAACCAGTCAACATTAAAAAAAGAATTAAAAGTTAATTTTTTACAAAGATTCATTCAGAGAAAATGGTAGTATCTGTCACTGCTCAAAAAAACTTTAAAGTCACACTGTACAGCAAATAAGAATATATAGGACTTTGGGGCACCTGGGTGGCTCAGTCAGTTGAGCGTCTGACTTTGGCTCAGATCATGATCTCATAGTTCATGGGTTCAAGCCACACGTCAGGCTCTTTGCTGACAGCTCAGAGCCGGGAGCCTGCTTCAGATTCTGTGTCTCCGTCCCTCTCTGTTCCTCTCACTCGCACTCTGTCTCTCTCAAAAATAAATAAAGATTAAAAAAAAAAGAAGATACAGGACTTATAGACCAGAAAACTGAATTTTAATTGACTCTGCCACTTCCTCTAACTTTAAGACTTAAGACTAGTCAGTTTCTCTCTCTGAACCTTAGATTCCTTTGGAAAATTTATTCATAGGATTATTCTGAGTTTTAAATGAGATAGTGTATGTACGTTTTAAAACTAAAGAATAGGGGCGCCTGGGTGGCGCAGTCGGTTAAGCGTCCGACTTCAGCCAGGTCACGATCTCACGGTCTGTGAGTTCGAGCCCCGCGTCGGGCTCTGGGCTGATGGCTCAGAGCCTGGAGCCTGTTTCCGATTCTGTGTCTCCCTCTCTCTCTGCCCCTCCCCCATTCATGCTCTGTGTCTCTCTGTCCCAAAAATAAATAAACGTTGAAAAAAAAAATTAAAAAAAAAAAACCTAAAGAATATATATATGTATACTAATTCTTAGTATAAATTTGATTCTCTTATTTTAAAAATCCTTCAACATATTTTTTATTTTTATTTTTTATTTTTAGAGAGAGGGATAGCTGGAGCTGGGGAGAGGGGCAAAGGGAGAAAGAGAATCTTAAGCAGGCTCCAAGCTCAGTGCAGAGACTGACACGGGGCTTGATCCCATGACCCTGGAATCATTACCTGGGCTGCAATCAAGAGTCAGACACTCAACCAACTGAGTCACCCAGGTGCCCCTCCTTCAACATACTTTAGACAAGAAAAATATTTCATGGATGACACTGGCTTTTCATCAAGCTATTTCTTAGGCATAAACAGGCAGACTGTTTGTATATGTGTAAACCCACACATTAAATCTAATTAGTCTTCTCTGCTCAAGATTTTAAAAATATTTACAATAATAAATCTGCTTCCTCCTTGAGTTGAACATCACTTCAGTAAATAGATTGGTTAGAGGACATGCCGACTCAGCAAAAGCAGAGTTTTCAGATAATATTCCTAAATGCCAGCCAATCTTCTGTCCAACAAACACCTTGTCACAGACTTCTTAAACCTACCTAGAATATGAGGTAAACCACTAGACCAACAAGCAGGAGAACAGATGCAAGCTACATAAGTCACCAGAATTACATTTTCACAAGAATTTTGGTAGACTTTTCTTATATCCAAATTTTAACTTCTCTCTTTATAATTATGTGACTTACACATAAACACCTTATAATTAGATTGCCTTCTTTTTCATTAAAATGAGAACTATCAGAATTACATTAGGCTATTTTATTTCCTTATTTATTTATTTATTTTGAGACAGAGAAAGCATGACCAGGGCACAGACAGAGAGAAAGGAAGAGAAAGAATCCCAAGCAGGCTCCGTGCTGTCAGCACAGAGCCCATTGTAGGGCTCGAACCCATGAATCATGAGATCACGACAGGAGCCAAAATAAAAAATCAGATGCCTAACCAACTGAGCCACCCAGGCACCCCACATTAGGCTATTCTTAAGTTTTATATATTGACTATATGTAATGCAAATTCAGCCTATTTAAGTTCTCATTACACCTAAGCAGAAATTTATGTGGGAGTTACTGTAGTGCTATACTTAATTTTGATTTTAAAAATCTAGGAGTATGCATATTTCCAGAAAAATAAAAGTCTGAACTCTTCCTCTAATTATAATATTTACTGGATATTAAGAATCAAATTTAATAACGAATAATGTAATTTTTGCCTTAATGCTATTCTACAAAATTATGATCTGAAATTAAAACTCTCAGCATAAAAATTGTAAGGCTGTGTCCATATTCACCATAACAGATCATCAGGGAGGGGGTGATTATAGCTCATGCAAGAGAGACTGGGCCAGGTGATCTGGGTCAGGGTTTTCATGCTTGGACTATTAGCATACTTGTCTTTCTCAATCTAATCTCTTACTCTCAGAAAAATTTCTGCAACCTGATATTAATCCATTTAAAATTCCATTTTGGTCATTTCCCTTGGAGTGTTCATTCTACTGGGAGAGAGAGCAAAGAAAATGAATGATTATTCTTCCCCAGTTGGTTTCTCCTCATTAGATTCTAAATTCATTAAAGACTGGAGTCTGGTCTTATTTTTATACTCCCTAGTGCTTAACACAACGCATATCATAAAGAGAATGCCCAGTAAATACCTGTTCAAGTAACAATGTCAGAAATTCAGAGGACCGCACAGACCACAGACTCTAAAACTTAGTATATGGTAAGGAGTCACAGCAAATACGCAAAACATAAGGATACATTTCTTTGAGCAACATTTCAAAGAACAACAAAAAACTGGCCAGATAGAAGAGCTGTTCCAGGGGTGCCTGTGTGGCTCAGTTGGTGGAGCGTCCAACTTCGGCTCAGGTCATGATCTTGCAGTTTGTGGGTTCAAGCCCCACAAGCTCTGTGCTCAGAGTCTGGAGCCTGCTTTGAATTCTTTGTCTCCCTCTCTCTCTGCCCCTCCCCTACTCACGTGCTGTCTCTCCCTCAAAAATAAATAAAACACCAAAAAAAAATCTTTAAAAGAAGAGTCTGTTCCAAGCAGAGGGAATCACATGACCAATAAGAATGAAGAGTATGAAAATATGGCACTTGCAGAAAACAGAATAGAATGCAATAGTCTGGATGTGACAATGAGAGCATATCATACATGAGTAATGATAAAACTGCAAAGGCAAGCAGGGGGGCAGAGAATTTAAGAGCTAAAGACTTTGATCTTTATCCTTAAAGTAGTAAGAATTATTATAGGATTTAAAGCAGAGCTGAAATGATCACATTTGCTTTTTCAGAAATATCACTCTGGTAGAAGTGTACAAGACTGAAGGGTGGTAATGAGACCAGTTTGAAGGCAACTGTAAGAAATGGGGTACTGAATTAAGAAAGTGATGAAGAAAAGTTATATTAAAAAATATCTAGGTTATAGAATTGCTAAAAATTGGCGTCTTTATTTCATATAGCCAAAAGAGTCAAGAAAGAGAAGAGAAGAGAAGAAGTAGTAATAGCAACAGTAGCAGTAGCAGTAGCAGTAGTAGTAACAATTACAACTTTAACATTTACTGAGCACTTACATGCTGGAGAATATTGCAAACACTTTACACAGTATTCATTCATTTAGTAATCCTCATTACTACTCTAAATACAGTTCCAAATATGCCTATTTTGTAGATGAGGAAGTAGGTCTTGAAGATAAAATGGAGAAATAAAAAAGAGGCCATATGAACAAAAAGACTGGAAGATAAAAGGTGTGGGAAAAGTACAAATAAGGCTAGTTGAACTAAAGCAGTCAGCTTGTACAAGAGAATAGTGGCTAGAAAGTTTGCTTGGGTCCAACTTAAGGAAGGTCTTAAATAAAGTCCTTAATTCTCAAGACAGTAAGAAAGCCATCAAAGATTTAGAAAAGAGTGATTCATACATAAATATAAATAAGCATTTATTCTTGGCTAGGTACTACATACAGTTATACAGATAGGATTCCTGACCATTAGCCTATCTACCAAAAGGTCCTCAGGGATCTAGAAATTAATGCGTCCAGAGTTATACTCATTCTTTTCCTTTAATCCCCTCATATTCTCTTTAATCCTCCTCTGCTACTCTCAATTTTAATTAATGCCATTATACCTACCCAGTTACCCAAGACAACATAATGGTTAGGAAAACACGCTCCAGAATCAGACTACTTAGGATCTAATCCTTTCCTACTCTCCTTTTAATATTTTTTAATTTTTTTAAATTTATTTTTGAGAGAGAGAGAGAGAGAGAGAGAGACAGGGTGCGAGCAGGGGAGGGGCACAGAGCCTGAAGCAGGATCCAGGCTCTGAGCTGTCAGCACAGAGTCTGATGCAGAGCTTGAACCCAGGAACTGTGAGATCATGACCTGAGCCTAAGTCAGATGTTTAACAAACTGAGCCACCCAGGTGCCCTGCCTAGTCTCCTTTCAAAAGTCTCAAATACATCCTCGTCCAAATTTCTAGGCCTCCCCAAACTGGTTATATGCCTGCTCTGGAATCCCACAATTCCTATCACATCTCTGATCAACCTAGACTACAGCTATTTGTATCTCTGTCTGCCCCATCAG